TTCAAAGCAGGCTTCAGGTTCCGAGCGGTCAGCACAGAGCCAGTCACGGCCCTCGAACCCACAAACCGTGAGATCATGACCTGAGCCGAAGTCGGACGCTTAACCAACTGAGTCACCCAGGCGTCCCTAATGACCTACATTTTATAATTCAGCATTCATTTTCCATGTTGAGAGTCTTAAGGTTCCATCGTTATTTTGTGAAGGTGTGCGGTATTTGTTTATTGAAGGTTTGCTAAATTTTGTGCACCATTCAAGACCCTTGACACGTTGATGTCATGGCACCCTCACAGCAGCCCCGAGTCAGTTTTCATAGACGAGGCACTGAGAGGTGAGGTAACCGGGCTAAGGTCATGCCAAGGGTGCAAGAACCAGGTTCAAGTCCAGCCACGGGTTTTCAGCCGTCGCGCTGCATTGCGGATTGAGCCTCTGCAAGTTCTCGTACAGCCGGGGCACCTGTCCGGTTCTCTCATTCTGACAAGTGGGATTCCCGCTCGAAGCAATGACCTGATCTGAGGCCCTGAACGCCCGCATCACTTAGACACGTGCATTTACGTGCCTGCCTCCACCTCCTCACCCTCGAGGATTTCATTGCTTTGTGCTCCTGGTAGGGGTGGGACACCTCGTCGTGTTTATCAGCAGTTTCGTTAATTTGGTGTTTGTGTCCTTGCCTCATCTTTTAGGGCATTTTGTCTTTTTTTAAGTGAAACGGAATGTACTGATTCTTTATCAAGATCTTTTTAATACAAAGGTTTCCTTTTTTAGTTTATTTATTTTGAGAGAGAGCACGTCACGACTGGGGGAGGGGCAGAGAGGGCAAAGAGAATCCCAAGCAGGCTCCGGGCTGTCAGCCCAAAGCCCAATGTGGGGCTCAAACTCATGAACCGTAGGATCATGACCTGAGCCAAAACCAAGAGCCAGATGCTTAACTGACTGCGCCCCCCGCCCCAGGTGCCCCAATACAAAGATTTTTTTTTTTTAAGTACGCGCTACCCCTGACGTGGGGCTCGAACTCATGACCCTGTGATCGAGCCAGCTGGGTGCTCCTGGACGTTTCTCTTTGAAGCATATTTCTGTGTTTTGCCACATGGAAGCCTCATCCTGTTTGAAATGTCCTGTAGCCCTGTCTGCTCAGTCTCTGGTTTTGGTCTTATTCTTAACTTATTCACCTGGAATTTTTTTTTTTTTTCAACGTTTATTTATTTTTGGGACAGAGAGAGACAGAGCATGAACGGGGGAGGGGCAGAGAGAGAGGGAGACACAGAATCGGAAACAGGCTCCAGGCTCTGAGCCATCAGCCCAGAGCCCGACGCGGGGCTCGAACTCCTGGACCGCGAGATCGTGACCTGGCTGAAGTCAGACGCTTAACCGACTGCGCCACCCAGGCGCTCCTCACCTGGAATTTTTAAAATAATTTACATGCAGTTCAGGGAGTTTTGACAAATGCGTGCCCCTTGTAACATACACCCCATCGAGGTCGGGAACATTTCTGTTCCCCCAGAAAGTTCCCCTGTGCCCTCTCTCTTACCCTCCCCACCTGGGTAACCACTGCTCTGACCTCAGTCCCCACGGATGAAGTTGTGTGACTTAGGATGTCCGAAGAAGGGGGAGAGAACGTGCTCCCAGAAGCCCCTTCCCCACAGCATGGCACCTGTGAGCCTCCTCGGGTTGGCCGTGTGGTCAGTTCGTGCCCCGGATTGCCGAGGGGTGCTCCCAGGAAGGAGCACCGTCTGTTCCACATTCTTTTGTTGCCGGCTTTGGGCTGTTGCAGGTATGGCTGCGGTAAACATTTGTGTCCAGGTGTCTATGTAACACAAGCTTCTGTTTCTCCGGGTGACGACCTGGGAGTGGAGCGGGGGTTCACTCAGTAGGTGTGGGCGACTGTCCTCCCGAGTTGTACCCCCCTCCCCCCGCCCGAGGGATGTGAGCGTTTTGGCTCGTCCACGGCCTCGCCCACACTTGGCCCCGTCATTCTCTGGGGTCTTAGCCACTGACGGGTGTGTAGTGAGACCTTGTGGTTTTAACTCGCCTTTGTCTTTTTACTGAGTGGTAAGAGTTCTTAGAATATTCTAGAGGCAGGTCCTTTATTAGATGGGAATAACATGTGAATACCTTTTTCCATTCTGGGGCCTGCCTTTTTGTTTAATCACTGACGTTTTATGAAGAGCAGTCGTTGATTTTCTTCTTTTTTGGTTTGTGCTTTTGCCTCCTGAGACACGTTTGCCTGTTCACAGATCGCGAAGATAACTCCCTTAGGTTTCTTTGGAAATTCCATAGCTCTAGCGTTCACACTTGATTTCTTGATCCGTGCGAACCGAACGTTCGTGTCGGGTGTGAGGAAGGGGTGGTTTTGTGTGTGTTCCGTGTGGATACTGTTTTGTGCCCACACCAGTTGTGAAAAGACTTCTTTGTTAAAACCAGCTGACTGCAAAACTGTAGGTCTGTCTGGACTCGGGCCCCTCGGCTGGGTGTCTTCATCCGTGGCCTCAATTCCTAGTTTCACGGGACGTCGTGAAATCGCAAAGTGAGTCCTGCAGCTTTGTCCTTTTTCAATACTGTGTTCACCTCTCTGGGTCCTTTGTAGTTCCTTACAAATTTTGTGGCAAACGTGTCGATTTCTTGCCCGAAGACACTTGCTAGGATTTTGATTAGCATCACCTGGAATCTGGATCAAACTGGATTGACGTACTGATATATTAATAAATTGAGCCAGTCCGTAAACGTGAGATATCTTTCCGTTTACTTGAGTCCTCGTTAATTTCGGCAACCTAACGCTTTCAGTGTAGAGGGTTTGGGTGTCTTGTAAATCCGTGATTAAGCATTTTATGTGTTTAAGTGCCACTTAAACAGACGCGTGGCTTACTTTTCTTCTCTAATAGGTTTATGTGTATTTAGAAACGTTTTATATACTGACCTTCGGTTTTGCAAATTTGCTCAATCCACTTAATGGTAGGAGTCGGTTTTTTGTATGTTCCCAAGGATATCGTGCACGTGCAATCACGTCACGTACAGGTAGAGGTGGCTTTACCGGTACACCTTCTGGCTCTTTCTTTTGCGCAAACGCACTCGCTAGAGCCTCCGGTTCAATGCTGCTTAGACGTGGTGGGAGAAGACAGCCCGTCTTGTTCTCGGTCTTAGGAGAGAAACATCCAGTCTTGGAATTCCTCTTATGTAAGAATCTGCCTTGGTCCCGCATCCCTGGCCGTTTATCCCCGAGACTTCTTACTGCGCGATGGCAGCTTGCCCCGTGACTCTGAAATGCCTTCACTGTGTTTCTTACATGTCCTTGTGTCCTTCTGTGTCGAGAGACTCCCTTTAATTCCAGCACGTAATTCTCATAAACAGAAGTGCAACGGAAACCAGAAGGTGGGTGTGGAATTTAGCACGCCGTGTGGCTTTCCTAATAAGCGCGGAGGAAGCGCTTTGCCGCGTGAGGGAGGGCCCAGAGGCGCCAGAGCCGGGAGGTGAGCCGGCACCAGCCGGAGAGCCCGTCCGGGGAAGGGCTGTGGCTCTTGCCAGAAAAGCCGCTCTGTTCGCCAGCCGCCGCTGGAAGCAGACGTGGGTGAGGGGGGCCGGTCGTCCCGCCTGAAGCCCGAGGTGGCCCGTGGACGAGGCCCCCGTGAGGCTGACGGGAGCGTGGCTGTGTTCCATCCTCCAGGCAAAGGCCAGGATGCAGGTGGCGGCAAGGCGGAGAAGACGCTGGCCGACTTCGCGGCAGAATATGCCAAGTCCAGCAGAAGCACGTGCAAGGGCTGCATGGAGAAGATCGAGAAGGTGGGCGCCGGGGCTGGGGCCGCCCGGGTTCTGGCGTCGGCGTGGCGTGGGGCTCGAGGAAGTTTCGAGAAAGCGTGGGTTTCGGCGCAGGCTTGGCCCTGGCGGTCAGACGTGCCGCAGAGACCGCATGGGCGTGGGCTCGTAAGCCTGGCCCGCGCGGCCACGTGGCATTCCGGCTCGTGGGTTTATTGCCAGTCCCGCGGGCCCTTCCTGGGTACGGACACGGTCCGGGGTGGGCGGAATTGCTGGGAGGCGCTCCAAGGCCCGCTCTGCTCGTGTCTGCTCCGGGCCGGGAGGACGTTCTCGGCGTCAGCATGTCCTCCAGTCCCCGGGTGGGTGGGCAGGGAGACGACCGGCGGGAGCTGGCCCCATTTAAGACGGGACTGCTGAGGGGCGCCTGGGTGGCTCCGTCGGGTGAGCGCCTGACTTCGGCTCAGGTCGTGACCTAGCAGTTTGAAAGTTGGAGTCCTGCGTCAGGCTCTGTGCTGACAGCTGGAACCTGGAGTCTGCTTCAGATTCTTTCTCTCTCTCTCTCTCCCCCCCCT